GTCAGGAAATCATGAGCCTTAGTAGAGTCAATGCTAACTGGAAGAACACAGAATCAAGGATTGCTATTTAAATTCCAATTGATAGCTTGTTCTCATCACTTAAACTTACTGTAAAACTGCTTCTTTTAGTTTTTCAATTGTTAGCATTAGCAGGGGCCTTTAAAGTTCCATAGAAATATAGGTACAAGAATCATGGATTATGTAACAGTTATATTAAGTTCAGGAAAGTTGAAATATCAACTTGTATTGCGATCTGCAAGAAGGTGGGTCAAATACCTGCAGGATTCTTTACTTTCATTAAAGATGTTGCTTCGAGCAAACCTAGAGGGAGGCAGAGAACATGTTAGACACCTCAAACAACACAGCACTTCACTCTGCAAAGCAATAAACAGCAACTTTGTCTTTAAATTCAACTTTATTAAATACATTCATTACAGGGAAATGTTAGTTCCAGATTTCCATTATTTCCCTTTCGTATTTTTTGTCCTTTTACATATTATTTATTTAAAATATTTTATCATTTATTGTTGTAATGTCTAGATATTCACTTGTTACATTTTCTGTGCTGTTGCTTCTGATCTGTAAAGCACTTTGAGCTGCACAATTGTATGAAAGGTACTATATTAATAAAGTTTGATTTGATTTGATTATAAAAGTTAAAGGAACTATGTTTCCTAATGTAAGAAAATAATGCAAAAATAAATTTAATTGTAAAACAAATAAACAAGATGCAGGAAAGAAAACAAAAATATCAAAAACAAAAACCTCTGGGGTCTGCTAAACAAACTGAGTACATTTGAATTGTCTAAATAATCTAATAGTTGTTGCCAATTTATAATTTTAAAGTTTAAAAATTTCAATAATATTCAAGTACATTTTAAAATTGGTATCTTTAAAAGTATAAGAGGGTAGTCTTTAAGCCAAATCATTTCGTGCATATAACATTTTGCTAAAATTATAATCAAACTATGCAATTTCCATCTGCCGAGAAATTAGGATGTTCAGCGTTTATTAGTGTGATATCTTTTTCGCCTTTTTGAAAAAGATTTCTCTGGCATGACGTGGCATGAAAACAATCTACAAACAACTAAAGGAGACACTCAATTATCTGTCATTTTGTTATAATACAGCCATCATTCAACTTTAACTGGCATAATTTTAACTCCTACATAAAGGTCAGATGACAGGAGAATAATTTTACTCAGACAAACCTGGCATCAACAGCACGTAGCAAAGCGCCCTCAACAGGGACACCTGTGAAATCATCCTCGACGTCTGCAACTGCAATGGCATGCAAAAGCGCAATTATTTTGCATTCTGTTTTACATCACTGCTGTTATTCACAAAACAGCTCTGCTTTTAAACTTGACTTGGCTAGTAGACAGTAACGGAAAACTGCTCACCTGTTGTTGCATCTCCTCAGTCCTGTTCTAATCTGCTGTGCAGCATAACTGTTCATAAATACTGCTGTTAATACTGGCACCTTTCTATTGGCCACTGAGCTGCAAGTAGGCCTAACTCCACCCCTCATGCATTTTTTGTTGAGACGTGGACGAGCTCATTAACACACGGAGCATGACCAGCAGTAAAGACCAACTTCAAACAAGATGGGACTCCTCGTAAAGCCACAAGTAGCAGTACTGTAACAACAGGGTACCTACTGGGTGCACAGGCAGTCCAGTATTCAGCTCTTTCTATGGGGTCATAGTCCTGGATGAATCAGTGGAGGTAGAATTCATGCATCCAAAAATGCATCCTCCTGAATCCATAGCATGGCGGCTTGTTTTAAGGACCAAATATGCAAAACATGGTGCCACGCACGGAGCTACTGTAGCCTAATTCTTGACAAAACATGCCTGGAAGGTAAAATTGACCCTCTGTCCCAAAACAGCTGGATATGTTCTTTTAACTTTGGTCTTGGCCAGTCAAAAAATAGGGGGCGAGCAGCGTCAACCACTGTTTAAGTCCCAAAGAAATATGCAGGAATTATGGGCTAGCTTGTCCAAACACCAGGTCACTGTAACACAGCCTGGGAAATTGGTGTTTAGAGACTTCAAAACACCATTTTTATTAGTTTCCACATTGAATACATGTTTAAAACATACACAATTTTGAGATTATTTCCCACCAGAACATTTTTCCTTTGTCTTATACTCAGATCAGGATACCAGTGTGGGTCACAGTGTCAAACTATATCACAGGTAATCCAGAATATATTGTGGCAGGGCCTGTGCAAAACCACGGTTTTGATCACATAATCATACAGTTCTACAAGTGTGAATGGGCAGTGTTAAAGATTACTGATGGTAGTAAAGGATGATGTAGGATGAAACCCATTAGAGTCAAATGCTTTTTGTGTGCGTGCATTTTTGTACTGAACATATTCTACAACCTTCTCCAGCTCAGCCAGGTACTTTTCCTAGCTGACCAATTTTGCTTCATTACATTCTCAGGTCATCTTTTGACTTTCAGGCCCGCCTGCCTGCTCAGTGTTTGTCATTTCAACAGTGAGGCGTTCTGTCCCTCTAACCAGCAGGTAAGCCTGTGATCAAAGAGTGCAACGAGGAGACAGGGAGTCTATGGGGGCTCTGCCAGGTGGCTAATGGTGAACATCATACTGTAATTGCTCTGTGCACATGACAAAGATGGAAGGGTACCTGTTATGCTTGAATGATATACATTTATTTCACCTGTATGCTGAGACAAAGAGTCGCCTCAAAAAATAAATCAAGTTGTTTTATAGAGGGTGTAAGTAGGGCAAAAATGCCCTCAGGGATCTGACATTATCTGTCATTATTTATGCAGACTCGTCAAAGAAACACTCGTATATCATATTGGCAATATTTGATAAACAGATTGTGCCATTAGTAGTATAGTAGTAGTAGTACTTGTTATGAATTAAATGAATGGATGAGCCTCTAAATCATATCTCCATTCTTTTGTGATTGAAAAATAAAAGTAAGCTGCAAGGATCCTACATCCAAGCTGTTAGTTACACTATCCTAAAACATATTTTTTTCAAGAGATGTTGACCAGTGACCCGAAATCCTTCTCCTTGGTGGCTTTAAATGCTTCTAAAAAGCAGAAAATGACTGTAACACTCTCTGTTCTTCATTTCAAGTCAAACCAATAATGAAAGGGACCACAGGGTAGCTACAGTACTGAAATGTACAGCAGAGTTTGTTGCACAACTTTACCACCACCTTCAGGGTATCAATTATCATAACTTGTGCCCCTCTGATCTTCAAGTGAAATTACTCCTTGTCCTGGAGCTCTCTGCAGGACACAAGACGAAAAGCTCAAGACTAATGTTTTCAGCTCTGTGCCCCTCGTTCCATTGCTATGTTACCTCTCTGCCTAGGCCACATCACCACTGTGCACGTTAAGAAGGTGAGGCTCAGTTTGCAGATATTGCAGATATAAGAATTTGCTGCAGTTCTTGAGTCAAATGGGCTGAAAAGAACCCACATAGCAAATTTGGTCCACACTGGTCCAATTTAGTCCACTTTCACTCAGCTCACATAAGAATGTCAGCCTGTGGGTGATTAAGATCTGGTTGCCAGAACAGGACTGTGCATGGGCCATGATGTAACCTTCTCTCAGCTGATTGTATCAACACAGCTGGCCATAAGTTGGTCCTTTACAGGCCCAGACAAGGTTTAGCACTGGTATAAGCCTTTACACGCAGCAAAGGGCTGCAGGTTGGAATTGAGCCTGAGCTGCTGTAAAGGACTCAGCCTACATGGAGTGGACAGTCTTCTCACTGAGCTAGAGGGTGCACCACATCACTCCTGTTCTGAAGACTTTGAACTGGTTTCCTGTCTCTCAGATAATTGATTTCAAAATACTATTGTTGGTTTATAAAGCACTGAATGGTTTAGGGCCCAAAAACATTTCCGTGTGTCCCCAGAGTCAAGACTAAACACAGGGAAGCAGCGTTTAGTTTTTATACACCACAAATGTGGAACAAACTCTCAGAAAATTGCAGGTTTCCTACAAGTCTAAGTTCTTTTAGATCAAGGCCAAAGACTTTTCTGAGTCATTCAAATATCTATTCATTTCTTATACTGCACTGTAACTTTTATTCTTGTATGTTTGCATGTTTGCATGTTCTCCCTATGTCAGCGTGGGTTCTCTCCGGGCACTCTGGCTTCCTCCCACAGTCCAAAAACATGCAGATTGGGGACTAGGTTAATTGATATCTCTAAATTGTCTGTAGGTGTGAATGTGAGCATGAATGGTTGTCTGTCTCTATGTGTCAGCCCTGCGATAGTCTGGCGACCTGTCCAGGGTGTATCCTGCCTCTCGCCTGATGTCACCTGGGATAGGCTCCAGCCCTCCCGCGACCCCCAAGAGGATGAAGCGGTTAGTAGATGAATGAATGAATGAAGCCCTATAATGGCTTTTTACTTGTATTTACTTGCCTTGTCTTATTCTTACAATTAAGGCTGTATAGTGTTATGTTATTCTAAAATGATAACTTCACTTAAGTACATAACAGTTAGACATTATAAAAACTGGTAAGAATCGGGATAAAATGCTTTAAAATTAAGGTTTAAAGTATACTACAGGACATGTCATGTTAAAGTAGGAAAAGCACAGGTGTAAATAATAAAATTAATGTTGAATAATGTGGAAAAAATAAACAATGAAATACCCATGGTGGTGGGACAGCTCAAGAAAACAGATGAAGAACTAATATATTCATATTTCTGTATAGTTTTAGTGGATATTATTACATAGTAGGGTGTTTGAACGCCTGAGCAATGCATTCATCTAGAAAAAAAGGTTGTTACCCCGTTTCATGAGAGAAGTGGATTCTCCATTAGAAATGTGCATGTCATATTTTACTATATAATAACATTTAGATCTGTGGGAAGCATGATAACTTGGTTATCAAATGAAGGGCATGTCCTGTAAGTGTCCTTCTGTCACACAGTCTCCTCTAGGTGGCAGCACGAAACAACACCGGAAGTGTCGGACTCGTTATGTCAGTTCCTTTAAGGATGTCGAAGTTTTGTAGTTCCTCGGTTGTTGACCTGTCAGCGTTGTAGTACAAGCTGTCACTGCTGATAATTTGTCTGTCCTTCTGGTAGTAACAGTTTTCGGCCAGCAACACAGCGAGCTCAAGAGCGGCGGACTCATAGGATTGTTTGAACTTACCGTTCTTGCTGGTGTCAGCTAAACCGCGAGCTAACTGCTAAAGTTAGCTAACAACCCAACCCGCTTTACAGCTAGCTTGCTAGCTAGCATTCGACGGCAGCTAGCAGCGTTAGCTAGCTTTGTAGCAGTTAGCTAGCTAGCCTGCTGGAAGTACGAGGGCTAGGAAGCCGCCCACTCCTGCAAAGCAGCATTCCGGACAAAAGAGCGCACAGTAAGTACGCAGAAACTCAAAGTAGCTGTCAAACGTTTGCTAACGTTATTATCCGGGGTGGGTAACATATTGACTGTAAGGATTTTTGCCGGAGGGTAAAGCGTCCAGTCAGCCAATGTTTGACAGTAGAGCTGCACAACCAGTGTCACCAGTACAACTCCTCTGTCAGCTGTTTCAGTCACTGGTTTAACTTCTGTAATAGGGCCAAGAATGTGTATTGTGCTCACTCAGGTTAACTTTTGGCATGTCTGTGTGACGTTTTCTAAGTGACATATTCAAATGAGTGAGAAAGCAGACATTGGGAACATTGTGTGAAATGCACTTCAAGCCTGTGGTTCTCAAGGTCTGGTCCGGGAGCCATCAGGAGGCCGGGGAAGTATCCCAGTAGACCTTCAACAAATGATTTTGATGCCTGCATTTTAACTTTACCTGAAAGTATAATAACAGAATACAGCTGTGACTTTTTCATGGATCTATATGTCCACACTGTTATACCCAAAATACACTTTACAGTTAGCACTGCACTCCTAAAGCTGGAAAATTTAGTCTAGTAGTCAATTAAAAAACTAATTAGCAACTATTTTGATCATCAATTAAACATTTGAGTCTTTTACCAAGCAAAATGTCAAACATTCTCTGGTTTCAGCTCCCAAAAATGTGACGATTTGCTACATTTATATGATTGTTAATATGATAATCTTAGTTTTTAAGATTGTTGGTTAAATTAAAGAAGCAATTTTGAAACTTCACCTGGCACTCTGGGAAATTGAGATGGGTATTTTTCTCTATTTACTGTATTTTCATACAATTAATGATTAACAGTTAATGAGCAAATCATTAATTGATCAATCAGTAATGAAAATATTTGTTAGTTACAGCCACAGCATGATAACCGTCCATGAAAATATTGCAGTTTCATGGGATCCCGGTATTACAGAATTATTATCTTAAGTCAAAATGACCCTTAAAAGAATAAAAACAGAGGGGTTATTTTTGGTTGAACAGATGTGTTATGACTATAATTGAAACTTGAAACCATTTTATTTATGTTTTTTTGTTGTTGTTTTTTTGTAAAAAGTAAAATAACGTTGGAATTCTCCGTCCTGTAGATAAGCAAATGTACACGGTATGATAACCATCAATTTTAACATCACCGTAGACTTTAAAACCAGTATACTGCTTTAACCCTAGCCCTGAATACTGGTAGCTATTGCAAATCTAAGTCTTATATGCTAGTCTTGGGTGCATGCTCCTGCAGCGACAGGCAGCAAGTATCACATTTAGTTAAAAAATTCTCTCAGTTTTCTTTTTTGAGAGTCATTGTCTTACTACATTAGACTGCAGGGGCTGTCATTGACCTCTTTTGCAAAGCATCTGGTTCAGCAAGATCTGGCTCTGTCCTTTTGTTGCCTTCTTATTATAGCACGCTGCCTCAGTTATGATGACATGTGCTGTTCACGTAAATCTCCTCTGTCAGGGTGTGAGATCTCTGCAGGGCTTCTCACTCTCAGCTGTTGCCACGAGCAGGAGGCAGGGGGTTGCTTGTGCAAGTGTCCAGTGGTGGATCAGGTCGCTGTCACCACCAGGATCGTGTCCTGCCACGTCTGTCGCTCGTTGTACTGAGTCACACTTTCGTAACTGACACAGCAACAAAAGTCCAGCCCAAGGCTGTTAGGATATAATCAGCAAGTTAAAGACGTGACAATGCTAGACGTTTCAAAATAATGAGCCCCTCCCTTTAATGACCTGTGGCTTTATTTTTGATGGCATAATGGAATTTGTGGAATGGGGCAGAGCTTAAACCCATAACACAGGAACCCTTGCTGTAGGTTATCTGCAGTAGCTTCTATTGTTCCACTAAGTATGGACAGATAGGTTGGCTGTCACATCATCATCGTGGATTGGATGTTGAAGGTGTTTCAAACTCTACTTACAGAACTTAATGTGATGTTAAAATTAAAAGACTATTTTAGGTCCCAGTCCTGTTCTACCAGGATACACAGGACAGTTATAGACTCCATTAAGAAACTGAACGTAAACTCTTTCAGAGTTATTTGCCTCTGTCTTTGTCTCTGCTTTTATCTGTTTTATATCATCATAAATAGATTATGGTTGTGTTTTTGAGTGCACAATATTTCAAGCTGTTTACCAATACCTACTGTTTCCTGACGTTTCTGTTCCAAACAATTCACAGATTAGAAAATAATCAGCAGATTATTAAGCAATGATCGAAGTGATTAGCTATTTTCAGGCCTACTTAATGATGTTTAGTACAAATACTCAGGATGTTGAGCTTGTTGTAATCTTAAATATATATATATAACACTTTTGCAAGACTTTAAATAACTTTTTTGTGTTTGATATACTTGACGATTGAGTCAAGTAGCACTAAACATACCCGTGTGTGACCACTGGAAAGTCATCCAGCTGGCTGAAATCGGTCAGCATCTAATATGACAGTTCGCCCACTGACGCCAAATGGGACGTTAACTCGATCTCAGTCAACCCTGAGTTTTGGGAACAACAGCAGAATAACAGCAGGCTGGACTTGTTTAATTTTCTGTATGTTTTAGGACAGAATGTTTTATGTTGAAACAGGTGGCGTTATCTTCATTTTCAGTTGACCTTTGTGTGTGTAGGTGAAAGTTGCTATTTTTGTATCCAATACTGCCTGTTGGTTTATTGAGCCGAGGCACATACTGTGTTCTCCCTCTGTGACTGGGTCATGGTTGACTCAGGGTACGGCACCTGCAGAATGTCGCTGCAGTCTAGATTTACAGTCTGTCCGTGCTGTATGCTGTGTTATGCTCACTGTAATTATGTAACATAGACTTTATGTCCAGAACGTGGGCATATTAAGTGTCTGCATCTGTGTGTTCCTTTTTTAATCATACTTCAAGGCGACAAAACAGTGCACGATGTGTGTGAAGTGTGCCATGTTTAAATTATATTTGTCCTGGTGTTTGACACAGATGGAGGCCCAAAGCTCCAGCGAGCTGCTGCTGTCCAGAAAGAGAAAAAGAGAGAGTTCCAATCGGGAGATCGAGGAAGGAGAGAGGCTTGGGAAAATCCCCAGATGTACTGTGGTAAGTCAGCTGTGTTCTTTGGTTGTCATTGAGCAGCATGTTTGTCCGGCAGCATCTATAGGCTCCGTGCATGTGCAAGTCGTTAGAAGGGTGCAGTGTTAGAGCTTATGTCCCACATTATTTAAGATGAAACATTTCTTTAACATTTCACTACAGAGATCTGAAATCAGTTTATATCTGCTGCTGTGTGCAGTGCATCCCATGTCAGATTTCATGTAGGCATCAAACAGTTTAACCTAAACAACAACAACTTCAATTTCCACATCAGATCGTTTAAGGAAAGAATATTACAAAATACGAGCGTGATAATTTTACAACTAGCGAAGAGAAGGTTATTCACTTTGGATCCCTGAAGTCTTCCTCTGCTGTCATCGTGGGTCTTTTAGGGGTTGAAGCACCCTGCACCTTTCGCAGATGAGCTGGTGCCTGATAATAAGCCCTATGAGAGAGTCAACATGGAGGAGGCGAAGAGGGGAACCCCACGTGAGTCTGATTCTTTCAGTCTGTCTGTTGTCTTTCTTTCACACAGTCGGATTTATGCCTCTTGGTCTTATGAAACCTTTCATGCCGTGTTTCTTATACACATTCTCCGTTCTTATTTTTCCCCAATGTCAGTGTACAACCAAGCTGTACATGTGAACAAACAAGTGCAATTTTAGATTCACTCCACAGGAATAAATAAATCATTCATCTCTGCATGTCTCGTCTCTCTCCATCCAGCAGACAGACCGGTGCGGGTGTATGCAGATGGCATCTTTGATGTTTTCCACTCAGGTCACGCCAGAGCGCTCATGCAGGCTAAATGCCTCTTCCCAAATACACACCTCATCGTAGGAGGTAAGTCTGTGAATGTGTGTGTCCAATATGGGCTTTTAACAGCAGCAGACCTCTTAGCAGCTGCTTCGTTCATCAGTGTGAAACTAGACAAACAGGAAGACAGTCAAGACAGTTCCATTAGAAGTCTGATGAAGTCAAATGTCTGGGAAGAGTTAGATAACCGACATTTAATAATGGAAGATGTGGAAACTTAATTGTGGGATATAGCAAGATATTATTGGATGTACTTAGGTCTGTTTTATAAATCTTGAGAGGGTCATCTACCACCACATTGTGCTTCTTCTGACTGAGAAAAGTCTTTCTTAGGATAAACAATCAGTAAAAATCACAAGCTGAACTATCATTTAGATACATGTTTTTTTTTAATTAAAATGATTGTTAACGCATTTCAAACAATTTCTGTATTTATTTTTTCCTCTATTCAAAGTGTGCAGTGATGACCTGACCCACAAATACAAGGGCTTCACGGTGATGAATGAGGACGAACGATATGATGCCATCAGACATTGCCGCTATGTGGATGAAGTGGTGCGAAACGCTCCCTGGACGTTAACGCCAGAGTTCCTTGCAAAACATCGCGTGAGTAGATGATAGAGAGGAAGTTAAAAGACAACACAATCAGAGACATTTGATCTGTTGAGAAAGTAGAATAATCTTGCAGAATGAGTTGGCAGACTAACATCCCTGATCTTCTTTAACCTTTTTCCTGCTGTTTTGTTTTTTGTATTTTTTGTTTTTGTACAATGTGTAGATGTGAATCTACTGTGTTGATGTGTGTTGTAATGACCTCTCCAGATTGACTTTGTGGCCCACGATGACATCCCATACTCCTCAGCAGGCAGTGATGACATTTACAAGCACATCAAAGAAGCCGGTGAGTAAACAACATCAGTGGTGTGGCATGCAAGTAATTACAGGATATACAGTTCAGTGTTTACTACTGCCTCCACTGCACATATGGTGCTGCATAATACTGTCATTTAAAATATAATTTATAGAAATAGGGCTGTGCTGAATGTCATTTTTTTTTTTATTTAAAGCTTCTTCTTAGGTTTTTCGAATGAATGTCTGTCATCATATTTTATGAATTCATCACCTTAAAGAAACTTGAAATTCTCCAACAAAATACACAATTTGATTAAATGAGTCAGTCTTTTTTTAATTAAATCAAATTTCTTTAATGAGTAGATGTACTTTATGGTACTATTAGATTACTGCTTGACTGCCCTGTTAAGTGCATCTCTCCCTTTCTGTCTAGCTTTTTAAATGTAGTAAAAATGTTTTTGAAAAGCTAAACACCAACAAATATGGATTGAATCATTTATAATTCATCAGATAAAAAACATGTCGTGAATTTTAGAAATGATAACGTCTATCTTTTTTCAATATATTTAGACTTTTGGACTTATTACAGCGCTCTGGAGTTATTGGAAATGTTTGGATCACACACCCGTCTAAAACAATTCTGTGCAGCCTGATCCTGATCTTTATCTGCAACTGTGCAGGAATACTGTGTTTTAACAGTGAATAGTCGTTGAAAACAAAAAAAGGCTGAGCAGAATTCAAATGACAACATTATGAATAAGGCTTTGAAGCTTCAAACTATTCGGTACAGCCCTATATATAAATATAAACTACTTTGATACATTTTTACATGTTAAAGTTGTGTTGCTTAAAATAAAATGAAACATGGGTCAGTGAAATATAGCACAGTATATATTAATACCAATGATGTATCCTCCAAATATGTATTGCAGAGGTATCGAGCTTGCTTTACCCATGGGCCACTTTTGCAAAATGGCAGGAGGCCAGGGGGCAGTAATAAATAAACATTAATGATTCATAAATAATTGGCCCAGACTTCTGTTGTGGGGTCGGCACTTATTTTTAATTAACAAGCTCTATTTTGATACTTTTCTAAATGCACTCTGGTAAGCTATTTATATTAAAAGTACAAAAAATCCCTGTGTAAACCAATTTATTTATTTTATTTAACCCATTTTTAACCAGGTAAGTCCCTGTGAGATCAACACACAAACATTTACACATAAAGTAAAACCATATAAAGTAAAGGGGCTAACTATTCATACGTCTCTATCTGGTGACCACTTACCTCTTCTTTACCCTCTGCTTTCCACAGGTATGTTTGCTCCTACCCAGCGGACAGAGGGCATCTCTACCTCTGACATCATCACACGCATAGTCCGTGACTATGACGTGTACGTCAGACGCAACCTGCAGCGAGGATACACAGCGAAGGAACTCAACGTCAGCTTCATTAATGTACGAAACTTAACTTTGGTTTAACTGTGAGTGTAGGTGTGAGAGTGACGTAGCTTGTAAGGTGAAGGTAGTTTGTGTGTGAGGTCATTCATTACTTCGCTCTGTAAGCTTTGCTGTCCCCGCTTTTCTTTATCAGGAGAAGAAGTACCACCTGCAGGAGCGCGTGGACAAGGTGAAGAGGAAGGTACGTGACGTGGAGGAGAAGAGCAAAGAGTTCGTCCAGAAGGTGGAGGAAAAGAGCATCGACCTCATCCAGAAATGGGAGGAGAAGTCCAGGGAGTTCATAGGCAACTTCCTGCAGATGTTTGGCCCTGAGGGAGCTCTGGTGAGGATGTTGGTTTAGTTTGGTCTTTAATCACTGTTTAATCAGGCAGCGTGGGTAAGAACACATCCTTCTTTCCACTGCTATGACCTGAGAGACATGTTGCAGAGGGAAGGAAGAATTTATCATCTATGACACATGCCACTTGGAAAACATTTGACTCCGTGACACACATATAATACCACACAAGGGCACAACTGATCATTTTGTGATTATGTTTATTTAATAGTAATAAATACACACATTAGAATGCAGTCATTATTTCAGTAAACTTAATCTACTGCTTTACTGTACATTTTAAAAAGGCAGTGCCTATGATGACTTGTTTATGGCTAAGGATTTGGACTTGGCTTTATAGCCAGGATTTGAGACAAACTTGTGACTTGCATAACAGAGAAGTTATTCCACCTCTGCACTGGTGTGACCTTTTATCTGTTGACTCTATGTGAAGTATGAAAAACATTAATCATTCTAAAAACCTTTGGTATGCTCACAGAACATGCAGAGCACTGTGCACTGGGGACGGACAGTTGAAGCCTTATAAAGCTTTAGGGCTTTCTTTCTGTTTGTGAAGCCTCAGGGCTTCACACGCAGCAAACACAGGGACATCTGGTGGCTAGTAAAACCTACTGCAGCCCTTCAAGACTGGGGCCGAAGCACAACACAGCTCTGACTTTGAAAATAATATATGAAATATATTGATAAAATATAATAAAATAAAATAATTGATGTATAAAATATTTTGGCTGACACAAAATGTAAATGTAGCCATTTTAATTTAATTTAATTTACTTTATTTGTTTTATTTTATTTTATTATAAGCTATAAGTTGCCCAGAAAAACAAGGGCAGCTACAAGCAATTAAAAACACCAGCTATAACATTGGTGTATAGATGATTGCATACAAAATTCCTGCAACAGTGTTTTGCAATGGCCAAGAGGAACCAATGAGTACAATTTTAAGTCCCTCTGTAGAAGATTCCACATATAAGGAGCTGCATACATAAAGGCTCTTTGCCAAACTCCGTACGCACCCTAGATACAGACAATAAGAGCTTGTTTTGTGAACAGTGAGTGTAGCCATTTTCAATTTTTTGCTTAATATACACACATAAATATGCTGGTAGTAGGCCAAGAATAGCTTTGTAAACAAGAGAATGGTGATGAAAAAGCCTACGAAATTTTAAAGGCAGCCATCCAACCTGAGCATACAGGATATAGTGATGAGTTAGGGGCTCACACTTGGTTGTAAATCTCAATGCACCATGGTACACAGAGTCCAGAGCATGCTGAGAAGGTACATTCATATATAATACATCCCCATAATCAAGCACAGTCAATTATATAGTAGAGACAAGTCTTTTTTTTTGGCCAAGAAAGGGAAGCACTTCCTATTTCCAAAGTTAAAAAAAACAGTTTCAGCTTCAGCCTTTTCGCAAGTAGTTCAAAATGTGGCTTAAAAGAAAGACAATCGTCAGGTATTTACGAGATGAAACACAACCTACCTATTTGTGTAGTTCAGCTGTCCACTGTGGGCTCATGTGTTTTAACCTCTGGTTGATGTCTATGTACCATTTCATGAGTTGCAATATGAGAGCAGGGAATGACATGACATTATTACTTGGTGTCAGATGTGAATGTTATCATACTTTTGACTATGTCTCTCTAGTGCACATCGTCATATCATTCAGTTATTCTCAGTAACCTAGTTTTAACTTTTTTGGAAATATGTTAATTTGTTTATCACAAAGAGTTAGATGAGAAGTTTGATACCATGTTTGTATCTGTCTGTTAAATATGAAGCTACAGCCATCAGATACTCAGCGTAGCTTCACATGTAGGTAATAAAACAGCCTGCCTGGCTTGCACAGTATTTTTAAATTTAAAGGGTCAAAGCCAAAATGATTAAAAGGTCATCACAAACCCCCTCACAAACATCTGACAGTTTGAGTCAGATTTTTTATCCCTAACTCATCCTGTGTGTCTTACAGTAAATCAGTTGTATCATCAGCTGATATAACAGATGTTTCCGTCTCACCTCCACAGAAGCACATGCTGAAAGAAGGGAAGGGCCGCATGCTGCAGGCCATCAGCCCGAGGCACAGCCCCGACAGCAGCCCCACCCGCGAGGAGCGCTCTCCCTCTCCCACCTTCCGTCTCCCCTTCTTCACCAAGACCTCCCCGCCTCCCTCGCCTCCGCCCCACCACAGCGGAGCCCGCGGATACCTCATCAGCGAGGACGACGAGGACGACGAGGACGA